CAGATATTCCAGTACAAAACTTGTAAGCTCAATCAACGTGTGGCAACTCTTCTTCATGTTCCTGTGACTGAGATGCCAGCAACTGCTCTGGACCCCACGCGACTCTTCCTATTTAAACTGCTTCTCAGCCTGCAGTCCCCAGAGCCAGTCCAGGGTCTCACGAAACGCCTTGCCTGCCCTACAGGGCCTCCCTGTCCTCTTTTCCTTTCCCTTCACTTACAACCTGGGTGCTGCTCAAACTTACAGTCTGGTTAAGGCATTCTCCAGGCTTTGCTCCCAGCCTCCGCCTGGGATTCCTTCCACTGTGCTCCAAAGTGGGCTCTGTTCTAACGGGGTACAAGAAATGTCCGGAAGTGCTTGAAGGGAAAGCTGTGTCAGCTCTCCTTGACTTCTATCAGTCTTTCTGAATCCAGTGAAGGTGGGTTGGTCTGCCTGCCGGCCGGCCTTCCTAACTTCCTTAATTTCCTTCCTTCCCTCCTTCCCTCCCTTGACCTTATACTATACTCACATGGTTCTTTTCTGTCAGCAAATTTAAGGCTTAAAGGATTAGATAAGAATGTATGGCTGAGTCATGAGATTTCTCTTTTAAACTCAGGTCTGTCTCTTAGCTCTTACTTACTGATAGCAGAATCCTCCCCTCTTGTCCCATTCCCCTCAGTTACTTTCCTCTGGATTCTTGAAGGAAAAATGAATCAGTCACAGATGTCAAGTCTAATGTCACTGCTTCCCCAAACACCACTGCTGTCAGTGTGAGATCTGAATCTCCGGTTACCAGTTTTCGAACCCTGTTAACTGTCTTGGTCCAGCAACTGGTATTGTCTTACTCTATTGAGTGTGGAAAATCATTTGCTGTCCTTCACTCAACACACACCATTCACACCAGTCCCTGTGAAAGGCTCAAGGATAAGGAGGGTGAAGCCCAGCCCCATGGAGCAACAACTTCACACCTTCAGTCTACCCAGCCATCATTTCCTTATGCTTCTTTCCTTTTTGATGGTGTTCTCAAGTCCTCTCTTTCTCTGTTCCAAACACTTCTCTTCTCGATGTCTTGAAGAAGACATCTCTCCTGTTTCCGCTACTGTTCTCAGCAAGGGTTATCTAAGTCCATTGCTTTCCCTGCGGTCACTGCCCAGAGACCAGATACAACCTTTACAACTAACCACCTGCCTCGCCCCCAGCACAGTGGACGCTAAACAAAAGTTCATGTTTTTGTTGTTCTCCCCGTCCCCTGCAAGGAATGCTTCCTCCCCTGAGTTATCTGGCGAGAACAGCAGCCCATCCCTAAAACATTAATTTTTCCTCCCATTTACAAAAACATCAGAAATTCTAGTCAGATGACTGCTGTGCTCTTCAAAGACACATGGTGAAAGATGTTCACTTTGGGAAATGCTATGATCAACATTCAAAAGAGCCTGGATTGTCTACTAAATAATTTATTAATTCCTTGAGAAAAATGGCTTATTGATGTCTCACCTTTCTTTTTTGACAGAGTTTTCTAAGTAGCCCCAGTTATCCTAGAACATCTGATCCTCTCATCCCAGCCTCCTCTCTGAATGCTGAGGTTATAGGTGTGCAACACTGTGCCTGGCTAGTGTACCTTTTTACTCTAGCCTGCATCCATCCATCCATCCATCCATCCATCCATCCATCCATCCATCCATCCATCCAACCAACCAACCAACCAACCAACCAACCAACCAACCCACCCATAAGATTAGCCCCATTTTCAGAGGGCTGCTGGGAGGAATATGACCAAGGGCAGGAACAGAACAGCATCTCAAAGTGCTATATAACACTGGAAGGAGTGCACCAAAACAAACAAACAAACAAACAAACAAACAAACAAACAAACAAACAAAACACCTCCAGGTGCCTCAGAGCTTTGCTTAGCAGTAGCTCAGCTGTATAAAACACAGTCCTAGTACCCAGGTACTTTCAAAACAGAAGGGCTTCTGAATGCTACCTATTGACTGAGAGACAACGGTTAGGGCTTCTGTGTGGTTAGAATAAGTTTTGAAACCAGGAAGAATTTTATCAAGCAGTCATTAGCTTGAATGAATACTCTGGTCTCAAGAAGGAAAAGTGTTGCCTACGAGCTGCTGGGTCTCGCCTGCAGTCCAGAGAGATGTGCAGCAGCACATTTCTGTAAGCAGGCTAGGAGGCTGGTGAGACTGCCTCCATCCTCACGGCACTGTGTGCAGTTGATGGGACGCTAAAGAGCTACTGTCCTCAATGTAAGTGTTTTTCATCCATTCATTCAGGCAAGAAATATTTACTTACTAGGGGTCGGGGGAGGACAGCTGCATGTACCAAGTATCCAGTTCATTAGCAACTATGTTCTAGGTATTGTGCTTTACCACAAGAATAGATAAGGTAAAGCACTGTTTGCTATTTTTTATCACAATAATGACCTTTATAATGACAATCTGGTTTTTTGCCTTATTTTTCAGACAATGTCTCACTATGTAGCTCAGGTGGCCTAGAACTGACTAGATAGAGAGATTAGGTCACTCTCTCTCAGCAGACATTAATTAGTTGGTTATACTTCCTTGTCTAGAGGTGGGGCCCTCGTGAAATTCCCCTTTCTCATTGGTATGTTTATTGGTGCTGTTCAGAGCTTTTATTCTTCCTGTCCCACTCTTAGCACTTTGAACCTGTTTATATTACTGCACCGGATGTTCCATTTCCCCCGGGTATTCAAAGCATAATCACCCTTGGGCATAGTTCTTTCAACAGCCCACTATAAGATACAGTGGGACATAAAAGAAGGCTTCTCTGTTACCTAATTCAGGCAGATCAATGGTAACAATAGCTTACAATGTGGCTACTCAGGGAATATACAAAGCAATAAGAGAGACAGACATATAATTATAATCCAAGAATGGTGACTCTTTCTCTTATTCACTGTCACTGTCCAATTATATCCAAAACAAATAAAAATGGGCCTGCTAAATATCTCAGTAGGCAAAAGTGCTTGCCACTCAAGCTGACAAATTAAGTTGTATCCCTGGTAGGAATAGTTAACCAACTCCTGAAAGATGTCCTCTATCCTGCACACGTGATCTATGTTATGTGTTCACCGGCAAACACACACACACCACTACCACCACTAATAATAATAATAAAAATTTCAATGGTTATAACAAATTCAGTTTGCATTTCACTTTAGTTGGAGAGGAACTGAAACTACTCTGACATTTTTATATATTTGCATTTATATTTTTTAATATAACATAACATATGTGTGCATGTCTTTTACATAGTTTAATACTGACAGAAGTGTTGTGAATTCTTGCATTGCCCTATAGAGATGAGAAGATTTGGGCTAAAAGAGTTAATTTACTGGTTGTACTATCAAAAGCAGAGAATGGACTCTAGACACCTGCAAGTGTTTTCCACTATGCCAAGCTTCTACTATGTTCATGATATCTAATTTTAAACTACATAAAAGATCATTTAAGGATATGAACATAGTGAAAATATGCTTTGATTCCATGCACAGCCAGTTTGAAAAGGAAATGGGAATTAAGTGGAGGCAGAGATTTAACAAGCCAAGCCCAAGGAACAAAAGAGACTATGGGCCAGAAAACGTCAGTTGGAGAAACAGAATAAGGGAGAGAAAAAGACAGACAGGTGCATCTGAAAGGAAGAATAAGTTAGAGTCGGGGTCCTCTGAGGCCCTTCTCAAGCACACCCTGATTTTACAATCCCACCAGTCTTGTCTGTACTTTTTCTATCCATCTCATCTGTCCAGCGCTGTGAGCTGTTTTTTCACAGATCCCTAGAACCCTGACCTTCTGTCAGCTGAATCACTGTAATTAATTTCCGCCTACCTGTCTGTGAATAAAGCTAAAAGCAATTTGCTTTAAAAAAAATCTGCATATCTTCTGTCTATAAAAATCAATGAGAGCCGGGCGGCAGTGGTGCATGCCTTTAATCCCAGCACACGGGAGGCAGACTCAGGCAGATCTCTGTGAGTTCAAGGCCAGCCTGGTCTACAGAGCGAGATCCAGGACAGGCACCAAAACTACACAGAGAAACTCTGTCTCGAAAAACCAAAAATCAATGAGAAACAAACATTTAACCTGATACTACCAAGTATACTGGTAAAAAGAAAGCAAGAAATAGGAAAATAGGATGACTACCATATAAACAGTGAATATACAAACCTTCCTACAAAAATTCACATAATTCACTATTCTGTAAGGTATACAATAAATAATAATATATAACAATAAAATACTTATAGTATATTCACTGCTTTTATTTTATCTAATTGCTTAGGTAAATTTGGTTAAATTGCTTTCAAAATGATGTCAAAACATACTACCATACTGGCATTTAACAAATGATTGGTTTGGTATAGTATTTTAAGGAGAACAGGCTTGATAATACTGTCTTTGACTTGCAGATACAGCTTAGTAACTCCATGGTTTGGAAAAATGACCTAAAGTCTAGACTCTTGGGTTATCTGTAACATAGGATGAACAGAGCCAGTGAGATGGCTGAATGAGTAAAGGAAGTTCCTGTGCCTGATGTCCTGAACTTGACCTCTCCATCCCACAAGGTGGCAGGAGAACCCACTCTGAAGAGTTGTCCTCTGACAGGTGGACTAGGACACACAACTACCTGCAAAAACACATGCACACCAATAAATGAACATAATTTAAAATGGGTTGAATAATGAAGTATTTGCCATAAAGGTAGTTCTAAGAATGAGTTGTACACAAGTAATTGTTACCTCTTGTCAACAGTGGTCATTAACCCAGCTGCAGAAAACTTAACTACAGTATGCCTTTTTGTCTATAAAATGAACCTGATTGTAAAGGTTTTATGAAAGCTGTTTAATATCATATGTGGACATAAAACATTGTTTTGAGTCAAGTGTGGACTTATTTACTGCTGAGAACCAGGAGGGACATCAGTCGTTCTAAGTCAAATGCGGATGCTCAGTATTTACTCTCAAGGAGCAGGAGGGACAGTTTTGCACAGAGCCTCACCTCAAAGTCGATCAGCTGCAGGTCGGCGATCAGTGTCACCAGCAGCCCGCTGGCGTAGAGCTCCTGGGCCAGCTGAGCCACTGCTTCTGGAGGGGGCTCCTTGTCATTTGTACCACACAGAATCTCCTTCATGGCCTGCAGAGATTTCGACACCTCTTCTGAAGCCTAGTGACCAGAAAGCATGTCAACAGTTAGAAAGAATACGGATTTTAGGTTTTAAGGAAGCAAACAGATCCCCACCTGCCCCCCCAACCACCCACCCACACACACACACCCACACACACCCACACACACACACACACACACACACTTCTTGGGCCTTATCTATTTATAACCAAGATCATTTTCTGGCTACAAATAAACAATAGCAGCAACATAAAAACATTAGAAGGTATTGGGTTTTTTTTTTTAACCTTAAAAAAGTTACTAAAATTTATGTGAAATGGTCCCTAATACTTCTTATTAGACAATATAATTGAAGTCTCAAACAATATTCATAGTCTAATTAGGTACTTGAAAATTAAATAGAGTGTTTTGAGGACTTACCAACTGCTACAAGTCTTTAAGTCTTTTGCTATAGTTTTTTGATGGATCCCTACTCTCTTGCCAACAGTCTAGGCATAAAATCTCAAGTTGTCAAAACTCATAAACTTTTGACATACTTATTTCTCTACACAATCACATTTTTTGTATTTGTAAATAAGAGCAATTTACTCCAGTTGACGAATAATAAGCAAATCCATAGAGCAGACTGTAGTTAGTGTTGAGTCTGGGAGTGGGATGTGAGGAATGACTACTAATGAGTGTGGGTTTCTTTTCGGAATGATGGAAATGTTTTCAAATTAAATAGTGGTGATGGTTGCCCAGTCTTGTGAGTTGTAAAAACTCAAGAGTTGAGAAATTATATGGTATGAGAATTCTATCTCAAAAACACTCATTAAACTGGTACAATTGACAAAAGAAAGACTAATTTAGTTAACAATTTGTGATTCTCGTTTTTAAAAAGTCTATTTTGGTTGATTTTACATTGCAGTATCACAGTCCTCACAATGAGAAAAAAAAAGGAGTGGAGTAAGACAAACCACAAAAAAGAACGATGTCAGCACGGCACTACCTCTTAAAAGGCAGTCTCAATTCTTTAGCTTACTATAGGCTTAAGAAGAATTATAAAGAAGCCAAGTCAGGAAACCATATTTCCAGAACCTCGTCACCTTGTGCAGCTTTTCATCTGTATGTATCTCATGAAATGACAGTAACTTGGACCTTATATGTCCCCCACAGGTCCCTGCGTTCAGTGTGGCAATCCTGGTGGCGGCAGGGCCTAAGGGGAGGTCTCGCCTAGTCACTGGGAATTTGCTTTCGAATGGGATTGTGGGACGGACCATACGATCTTTTTCCCCTTTCCCTTCCCATCCCAGCTACAAGCTGTGCCACATATTCCCAACAGGCTGTGCTGTCCCTACCAGAGTCCCCAGAGCAACGAGGCCAACTGACCACAGACCGAAGTTTCTAGAACTCTGAGGACAAATAAACTTCACCTTTTAAAGCTAGTGACCGCAGGTATTTTGTTATAATGCCGTCTAACGTCCACAGCCATGGCTGCTTTACCTTACTCTCCTTCCCTTTCTGTGGCCCAGCCGCAGCTCCCCTGAGTGTGAAATTGAAGGAAGACGTGTGCCCTTTCCCCTCACTCCTTTCCCTCAGCTTTCCAGTGGTGGGGCTCCTCGCTGCGTGCCACAGCTCGATTCCTCCACTCGTGGATGGGTGGCTGTGCTGCAGCGTCTTTCCTGGTTGTGAATTTGGGGGCTGTTCTCACCGAGAAGCTGTAAACTATGATGCAGTGTATGTTCTCACACGGTTCTCCTGGTGCGCTGTTGTGGAATACAATTTGAACTAGGCAAAGATGTGGTACTTTTGTTTATGCTGCTTTTGTTCAATCATGTAAAGATGTGTTGCATTTGTTTCACCGTGCCTGCCTAAGGCACCTGATTGATCTACTAAAGAGCTGAACAGCCAATAGCTAGGCAGAAGAGTATGGATAGGCAGGGCTGGCGGGCAGAGAGAATAAATAGGAGAAATCCAGGCTCGAGAGAAAGGGAGAAAAAGAGAAGAGAGAATGAGAGATATGCCCTGGGCCAGAAGCTGGGCAGCCACAAGCCAGCCAGCCAGCCAGGAGAAGCAGTGGAAGTAAGATATACAGAAGAAGAAAGGTAAAAAGCCCCGAGGCAAAAGGTAGATAAAGAGAAACAAGTTAATTTAAGTTAAAAGAGCTAGTCAGAAATGAGCCTAAGCTAGGCTGAGCATTCAAAACTAATATTAAGTTTCCATGTCACAATTTGGGAGATGGTTGGTGGCCCAAAAGAGAAAGCCTGGTAGAGTATGCACATTTAAAAACATGCGCAGAGAATGTGTCCAGGTACCATCAGTGGGACTGTAGGATCTTAGCAATGCATATTTCCTGTTCATCAGATATTATTGACTAGATCTCCAAAGTTCAGACGTGTGTGCTCTGTCACTTGGAGTGAGCAGACGTGGTCCTGCTCTTAATCTTCATCAGCATTGTTGCGAATGGGAATGTGTTGTGGACTTAATTGGCCTTTTCCCAATTAATAATGAAAATAAGGAGGATTTTTTATTTCTGTTGTTTGTCATTTAAATTTATACATACTTTATGAAGGTTGATTTTAGTTTCTATTTGAACCAAACTTTGGCTCAATATCTCAAAGAATATAAAAATTAGAACAAGATATTTTTCTAATTCCTTAGAAAGTTTAAGGTTTTATCATATACTGAGACAGAAACACACTATGATCCTATGGACTTTTATTTTATAGCAGGTCATCTTGAATCTATTTATTGCAGAGAGAACCAACTATGTAGGACTCAAAATTCCTTCAAAAGAATGAACAAGGACCACACTTAGTTCTTCATTAAGCTTTTACATGGGCTTGGCCTTGAAATACACACATTTTAATAATGGTTTTGCTTTGAATCATACCTTGTCTGTCTTTTTGTCTTGCTTTTCCAAAATGGCCAGGTTGTCTTTCAAGATTTTCACAATTTCTGCTGGATTTTTGTGTGATTTACTAAACAAAGGCATTTTTTTCATGTTTAAGAATCACTTCTTCCAATATGGAATGCTAAACAAACAAACAAAAACAAGCCAAGTTAAAGCATGCTAACTCTTAGCTCCTAGCATGTCCATTTCTCCTCCGATTGGCCAGCCCCATCCACTCTCAGCCTGGGTACCTTTCCCATGGTACACACTTGGCTGCTGATATTACTCTCTGTGTACTGCTTGACACGTTCACCCACTAGTTCATCTACTCACACTTAAAAATGAGCCAACTGTGATTCGGAATCATTTGCTACATAAATACAAGTTTAGGCTAGCATGTGGCTCAGTTGCCTGGCATGTACAAGTGTGGGAGCCCACAGAGGTTTCCTAGTGAGATCTAAGCTTGCTTTACCCAGCAGGGCTGCAGAAGGGGATGGACTGACCAAGTGCATGGTTTCCAGGTATTTGGAAGGGTCTGCACTTGGCTGTGCTAGGGGGAGGTCTTTTGCTCCACCCCTTGGCATTTCTATAAATAGCCCTTTAGAAGAGACAGAGGGGGCTGGTGGGTTTTGATCCAGGCCCTCCCGAGCTATCCTGTGTTTCTATCTGTCTCTCTCCTCTATATTTCTATCTAAATATTTCTCACTTCTCCCTACTCAAGAGTACCCTGGGGGAAAAAGTAGGAGCAGGTCTCCCACATACAAGGCCCCTCCATTCTACCCCCAGTACTGGGAAAACAATACTTGAGTTCCTACCTAGTCTTGATGAATGGACCAAATTCAGAAGTTAATATTCTTGACTATCATTTTTCTATTTTAAAATAAAAAGACTCTTAAAGTAAGCCAGGACAGGTTAAATAATGATAATGGTAACGTTTTTTTAAACCTAAAGTGATGACAAGAGATACTAAATGTGCATATATATCACTATATTTATGTGGGTACTTTATAGCAATATGAAGAAAGTAATGTTATCCCATAAAATATAACAGTAGAGAGGGTAGTGGAGAAAGTCAGCCACAACAAAAGGAAACAAGGAACAGAATCACAATAGCAAAATATATATGAAGAAAAAACATTTAAACTATCACTTAAGGGACTTTTCTAGTCAAGATTAATGATAAGGGATAAACTCAAATTTGTCTTGTGGCTTTTAAAAGAAGCAAATAATCCTCTTTCAAAGCACATTCCAACAGAATGGCCTTTCAAAAACAACAGCAATGCAAAAAACTTCTCAGACTGGTCAGCCCCATCCATTCCCACAGAACCATGAGAAAATTAACATGGCTCTGGGGAGGTAAGTTTATAGCCTCCCAATTAAAGCTCTAGATAACACACAATTTCTGTATACACAGATTATATATGTCTACAAACATAATGCTGAAAAGACTAAATGGAATCAAGCCCACAAATAGCTCAACAAAATTAATGCTAGAAATCAGAACTGGTTCCTGAAATGAAGCCTTTCCATAGTTAGCAGGACAAGTGGGAGGTTGTGAATCTACAATTATAATTCATTTGTATGGGAGTAACAATAAAAAAGAATTTGAAAGTTCAAAAAGAAAACCACCCCAGAAATCTCCAAGAGAAGAAGAGAAACAGTGATAGAAGCAGAAAGAACCCAATCAGAGATGAGGAAACAAATTCACAGTAGCTATTCATCCCTGTTCTGTCTGCCTGTGCCACACCCCAACCCATGGAAGGGTGGGATGACCACCTGAGCAGTGCCAGAGCAGGCACTACACCAGGCTCCACAATCAGGTCTCCAACAGACTGACATAAGCCAGTCAAAATACAAGAAGATGAGAGACAACAAGAGTCAGTGAGAACATGGAAAAAGGGGGCTCTGTGTGCTTGTGGTGGAGATGTTCATTGGTACAGCTAGGACAAGCAATGGTGTGGAGGTCTGCAAAAAATTACCGGTAGACCCACCAACTAGTTGGTCAATGTTTTTATACTTCAAGAGGCATATCCAAAGGGACTAAACTCAATGTGTGAAGGAGTATCTGCATCCATGGTCACCCAGCATTACTCTTACGGTTAACACACACAGTTAACACACATAATGTCTATGAATGGATGAATAAAGACAGGCACCTTCCTCTGCCTCCTGAGTGCTGGGATTAAAGGCGTGTGCCACCAGCACCATCTCTGTGAGTTCGAGGCCAGCCTGGTCTACAAAGCGAGTTCCAGGAAAGGTGCAAAACTACACAGAGAAACCCTGTCTCGAAAAACCAAAAGACAAGCACCACAGAATGCTACTCAGCCTTAGAAACAGGGGAAGTCAGGCCAATGAGATGGCTGGCTGAGTGGGTAAAGCACTTGCTATGTAAGCTGAGATCCTGAGTTCAATCCCCAGAACCTATGTAAAGGAAGAAGGTGAAAACCAATTCCACAAGCTGTCCTCTGACCTCCACATAATCCACTGTGGCACACACACACACACACAACACAAAACAAATAAGAACAACAACAACAAAACTCTGAAGGGGAGAGGGTCATGTCACCTGTGACAGCACAGATGGGTCATTACTGAATCAAGCCAAGCATGGAAAGACAAGTATTCTAAAACAACTGAACTCATAAAAATTGAGAGTACCATGATGGTTGCCAGAGGCTGGACAACTGAGAAGGGAGGGAATGAGTAGTTGCTGATTGAGAATTTCAGACAGACAGAAGGAATCGATTTTCAGATCTAATACCATAAGGTGACTAAGAGCAATAATAATGTAGTCTATATTTGAAAATAAAATTCTTCAATTGCACTTTCCCGTGTTGATATTTTAAGCTAAACGAAATAATATAATATATTCTAATTAAAAAATAGTTATTTTACTATAATATTTTATTTAATATAACAAATTATAAAGTTTTAATGCTCTAAATAAAATGGCTAGATAAATAATAATTTAAATAATTTTAAAAAATTTTCATCACTTTTAATTATGTGTATACATGTGGGTCTATATGTAGGTATGCGCATATGAGAAGTGCTTGTGGAAGCCAGAGGTATTAAAACCTCCTGAAGCTGGACTTACAGACCTCTGTTACGTTAGCCAAGCTTCATGGAGGCTGGGAATAGAACTCCAGTCCTCTACAAGAGAAGTACATGCTTTTAACTGCTGCATAATCCAACCCCTAAATAAACTATTTTTAAAAATGTAGAAAGCTTCCTAGTCATCTCTCTTGGAAGAGGTGAAACAGAGCAAGCTCTCTGGCTGTTTGTGGAGCATCTTAATGCATAACTATGCCCCAACGTTCTGATTGGTCCTTCAGGTTCTCACTGTTCTTAACTATTGACGATTGCAAACATTACCGTATCACATATTCCTTTGCCTGTCTGCTTGCACACATGTGCCACGGTTTCTCTAGAGCAGTGGTTTCACTGCTTGACTAGAAAGTCTAAATAGTATTAAAATATCAGTGATTCCTAAAATTCACGGTTTGATATAGTGCCAATCACAGGTTAAAAAAACACCCCTAACTGAATTGATTAATGATTAACAGGTAAGCAAGGACAACATATTTGGCTTTTTATATTTTTGCAAATGTAAACTGAAACTAGGGCCTTGAGTATACTAAGCCTGCTTCCTATCACTGTGCTTTTCCCACAGCCAGTAACAAAATATAAAAAGATTAGCAAGGGAAATGAAATAAAAAGTGCAATGAACTACTGTAACAGTGGCATCAGAAAACACAGATAAATGGGAAAACATCAGAAACAACTGTTATTACAGATACATCTCCAACATTTTACAGGCAATGAAATAAATCTCAAAGAATGGCTGGGGTACGGCTTAGCCACAGAGTGCTTGCTTAGCCACTGGAAGCTCAGAGTTCTTCTATTTCCAGAGCAGCAAAACAAACAAACAAATAACTCAAACAAAGAGACTGGAAAGTCAATGTTATTATAAATATACTACAAATACAAAAAAAATTTAATTTTCTATACATAATTAAAACTTCAGGAAAAAAAGAGAATTCTGTGCTAGGAATTCTAAAGAGAATTGGTTAGCATCACTCCAAAGGAAGACCTCAGCCAGGATGAAGACCAAGGTACAGGTTGAGGAGGGTCATGAGTTCAAGGGCAGCCTGAGCTTCACAGTAAGACCCTGTAAATTAAACACCGAAAACTGAAAAATCTCTTTGAGAAGAAAAAAAATCCAGAGAAATAACACATAGAAAAACACAGAGGAAATATAGTTAACACAGTAAACATTTAACCACTCTCTTTAATTTAAAACTGAAAACTCAAAGTGAAAAATTATTTTCCCCATTAAACAATGAAGTGAGTTTTGATTTTATTATTTTATTTGATTATTTGATTATTATTATTTGAATTTATTATTTGTTTGAGACAGTGTCTTACGTAGTCTAGGCTGGCCTGATACTGGCTATGTAGCTGAGGATGGCCTTGAACTTGTGATTCTTTTGTGATTCCCTGTCTCCTAGGCCCCGGCATTACAGGGGTGCAGCACCACAGCAGGCTAACGATGAAGCCCTTGTTACTATGCTACAAACTAACTGAATGGTGGCGCAATGCAACAGGCTCTTCATTTCCAACTGGTGAGAGTTCAAGTTGCACAATAATTGGGCCTTATGGTTCTAGAATGTTAGATACAACCTCTGATTTAGGAGTAAACTCACTTCGGACAACCCAAGATAATTAAAATACGAGCCTTATTATCCCACCTTTATATTCAAATTTATATAGAACAGGTTTATCGCAATATTTATTATAACACCGAAAAACCCAAGGAGAGTCTAAATGTCTCAAAAAGAAAAAAGGAAATAAATTATGATATAACCACTATATATACTAGTAATAAATGTTGCAGCTTTTCCAACTGGAAAAAAAAGTTTTCTAAATACTAACACCGCCAAAAACTAGGTGTCTCTTGGTAGATAGTGCTTCACACTAACTGGTCAGAATCCACTCCCTCTTTTAGTAACAGATAAGTTAGTCATGTTCTTTACCATCAAGAGCTTCTTAAATTTGATGAAACATCATTTATGACTATGACGATGTCTCTAAACAATGTCAAACAGAATGGAGATTTAATGTTGGAAGCATTGTCATGTC